AAGAAGAACTAAAGAAAAATCCAGAACTTAAATTGTCAGATATACAAATTCTAAGGGATTGGTGTGAGAAACAACCACATCTGCCGAAAATCCAGGACGTGGAGCTCGCCATATTTCTACACAGTAATTATTATCATATAGAGCCGACGAAGAGCACAATCGAAAATTACTACACTTATAGAACTCACATACCGGAACTATTCTCCAACAGAGATATACGGAAAGTGAAACAACTGCGAGATGCTTTTAAAGTCACGTAAGCATAAAGTTTTTCGATACTGACAGCTAAACATATACTTACAACTTGAACATGTACTTATACGATTTATTATACGTAAATATTTGTCTTATAGTCTAATAGTCTACATAGTCACGTCACAAATTTCATCTATAAAATTTCAATAATTCTAATTTTGAAAAATTATAACATTTAGAAATTATATAGTCTAATATACTTAGAAATATATTTAGAATAATATAATAAAAATTCGTGTATAAGAAGTTTCTATAAGTAATTTTACTCTTGGTAAAACAGGGCCGTACTTCCACTAGAGCTTACGACAAAAGAAGGATATATCATAGTGATATCACGGCTTGTCGATGTGGATCCATCGCATTACTTCTTCAATGAAGCGACAAATGCTAATCTCATGGTGTTCGAGGAATTTCTTTGGACTCGTGGATCAGTATCAGGAAATATCCTTGTCAGTGATGCCACGGGCCTCACAATGGCACATATGTGGCGTTCAAACTTAGCATTAATGAAGAAATTCATGCACTATTTCCAAGATGCCATGCCAATGCGTCTGAAGCAGATCCACGTAATAAATACAACGCCAGTTATGAAAATAATGTATAACATAATGAAACCTTTCGTAAGCGAGAAACTGAAAAATCTGGTAAAATTACTTTAAATTTTAACAAATCTTTCATCGTCAACAAAATTATTATTCTAGCGATTCGTTGCTTCTCGTAGGAAGGAAAGGAGCACGCGATATAACATATATAAGAAATTTAGGTCATAACGTTAGAAAAGATTGCAACAATATCATACTACGTTATATACGTTTACTTATTAAAGTCTTCCAAAAATTCTTTAATAAAAAAATGTAGTACTGAGTGATATTTCTTTGCAGATATACTTTCACACGTCATTGGAAAGTGCAAAAATGTATTTTCCGATAGAAGCATTACCAAATGAACTTGGTGGAAAAGCAGGTCCCATACAAGAATTAATGGACATACAATTAAAGAAGATAGAGGACTTTTGCGAATGGTTTGTGGAGGACGAAAAGAACAATCGGGTAAACGAGTCGCTGCGAATCGGCAAAAGCAAGACATCTGTTTGACGTGGACGGTAGTTTCAAAACAATATAATTTGATTGAGTCTATTTTATAATATATATAATGTTACAAGAATTTATAAACATTAAGGTATTAAGTCATTCAGTAATAATAAGTCATTCAGTAATAGTAAGTCATTCATATTATAACACCATTACGTATTAAGAAACGTATAAAATATAATTTTAATTATATCTAAAAAAATAATTATACAATTAATGGAGTGGCAATAATATGAAATAAAGGATGCATGAATTTTGAATTACATTATTTTTTATCATATATTTAATAATTTTATCATAACATGAATTTTTTACAAGTAATGAAAATCGACGTGACAATAAATATTTAAAATAATAAATAATAAGTCTAAAATATTAGAATCAGAATATGTAATATGTAAAATGTTCAAGATATGTAGATGTAGATATTCAAGAATGCTTTAAACAATATAATGGCTATTGTGTAATCATTACAAAAGATTGACCACAACTTTCTATAAAATACGAATAACATTTTGTGACAAATGCAATGCGTTATTCTATCAGTGCAAATTGTACTTTATTTCCCGTAGTCCTGTTTATAATTGTGACTATCAATTAAATCGATTAATTTCTAAGCAGGACAATTTTTAATATAATCTTCCACACAATATACGTTGTATTTCATATAATTAAAGATTATAATTTTATGAATGATCATAACTTTCCAAAATTTTGGCAAAACTTATTTATCGACATAGTCGATTATAAAAAATATTAAATTTTTATTATTATTTCTTTTGGAATTTGATAGCCATTACTTTAATTAACGCCGCGTTTCTTAGATAAATGTATCGAATATTTTAACAAGACATGCGTGACAAAATGATAGCGTATTAGAGAAATGAAATGTATGAAATGTATGAAATGTATAAAATGTATGAAAATAAATATAAATATTTCACAAAATACAACATTTTTTGTTGGTTCCCAATTCTCATACGGTATATTTTGTATCCGTAAAGCCCGACGTGCAGGACTTATCATTATCTTTACATTATCGATGTATTTATCTAAGAAACGCAGCGTTGACTTAATTAAAGTGACGGCTATTAAATTCCGGGAGTAATAATAATAAAAATTTAAAATTTTTTATGCTCGACTATGTTTTCAAATAAGCCTCGCCAAAATATTTGAAAGATTATGATCGACTGGACTTGGTTTAATCGATTCGGAGTCGATTAATGACGTCACAAGACTCTACTAGCCAATCACAAAATGTTCGACTAATGAATTTGGGTTTAATTAGAGAATCTATAATAAGAATCTGGACATAAGGAGATCCAAGTAAAATCATGCAAGAGAAAGGAGGATGTTCTTTCTTTATCTTATTCTTTAACCTAGCATTTATTGACACTCACCCAATCCACCCAATTGTTTGTTTGGATGACGAGTAATAAGAAAACATTCGAAGAATTGTAAAAATGGGTGAATGTGCGACAACATTTCTGTTAGAATAAGGAGTTTATAGTTTTTCAAAAAATTAAAACACTCATTATGGTTGTCAGAAACATAAATTTTATTTATATAATTTATACAGTTTGAATATTTTAAACAAAAAATAAAATTATTCTTAATTTTATTACAGCAAAAGTATTCAGACGCTAATAAAATATAATAATATAAATCTGTACATTAACAAAATAATAATAATTTTAGTATTTTGTTGCGTAAGCTTTTTGTTTAATAACATGTTGCAAACGTTTGGACATATTAGAAATAATTTTTGTTAAGTAATCAGATGTAATACGTTTCCATTCTTCTAATCGTAATTTTAGTTCTTCTTTCGATCTTATAGATGTAGTTCGAATGTTACGATCCAATAAATCCCATAAATTCTCTCTTGGATTTAAATCTGGTGATTGTGGTGAAAGATGTAATACAATTAAATAATTATGTAATAAATATTCTTGTACTATTCGTGATTTATGTTTCGGATCATTATCTTGATAAAATTTGAAACTGTTTCATATATTCATATCTAGCACTTTTTATTAAATTGTCTCTTTGGGAATACTTAAATACTTATTTTTATCCAGAATTCCGTCAATAAAAACTAATTCGCCCACTCCTGAAGTTGATATGCAACCCCACACCATTAAATTCCCGCCACCGCGTTTCATTGTTGGTCTTAAATTTTTTATTTTTAGTTCTTCGTTTGTTTTATGTCATACCATTTTCCGTTCATCAGATCCAAAAATATTAAATTTGCTCTCATCAGCGAATATTACATCATTCCACCATTCTTGTTGTTTAGAAATAAACTCCTTAGCGAAAATTAATCTTTTCTTATGATTTATCTCATTTATGAATGGCTACTTACGAGCAATTCTACATCTTGCATCTTATTTTCAGCGTCTGAAAATGGGCGTAGGGAACATAATTCCACCTCAAAAATGCAAATGACGCATTGAACCAACGTGAAAACCGGTCTCGGCCAAAAAGTATGGCGTGGCCGCTCTCAGGCCTCTCTCTACATAAAATATACTTAGTGTCCGAATACTTTTGCGGTAACAAAATTAAGCATAATTCTATTTGTTGTTTAATATAATATGTTTTCCAAATTATATCAATGTTATAAATAAAATTTATGTTTCTGACAACTATAATGAATGTTTTAATTTTTTAAAAATTATAAACTCCTTATTCTAATAAAAACTATGTTTAAAGAGTAATAATTTTTAAAGTATCATGATTCCAAATATTAATGCAAGTAACTGTATGTGAAAATATAACTGAAGATGCCATGCGTGATATTTCATATGCAAAATCAAATAAAAATTTGAATAAGTACAAATCAAATAAAGTAAGTATAACATTCTGTAATTTAACGAGGAACAAAAAGCTCATCTATGTTATATCATGTTTTTATAGTTAAATGTAAATATGTCTACCTTCATTAAATAATTATTTTTACTTTATATCAATAACTTTATCGCTCTTTGTTCCTCACCAATAGGACAACGTTGCTAATTCGAATGCTTTTACTGAAAATCCTCTGAAATCACACAACGCGCAATAAAATCAAAATTATCTAAGATCTAAAAATTAATATAAATATATTTTTTCTGTATCTGTATCTAAACGAGCTGAAGAGATAAATTTGCTCCCAATACGAAAAGAAACACAAAGATAGATTTAACAAAGCAACCTCGCAATTATATTTTTCTAAGAAGAATTAACGAAATTAAATATATATAAATATATATAAATATATATAAATATATATATATATATATATATA